TCTACAAGCAAAAGAGCATGAGTCAGGATAAGGAAAAATATGTAATTTTTTTTGAGTAAAATTGATATTTTATACTTATCCTGACTCATGAAGTTAACCCTCCATCCTCCCACATAACACTTTGGATTTCCCTGTAAATTCAAGTGTTGGGCTCATAAAATCAGGAGGAGAGAGTGAAGCATGAGGCCAGAGGGTGGCGACACCTGTTCCGCCAAAGGGGCAAGGGAGGCAACTCTTGGTGAGTACCAATTAGTGATTTTACATTGAAGGGGCTTCAATTAAGGAGATACAAGTGTTCCACTATGTTAAGCAAGAAGAAGAAGACAAGCAAAGAGCATGAGTCAGGATAAGTATAAAATATCAATTTTACTCAAAAATTACATTTTTAACATACAGTGAAGCATCTGATTCAATACTCGTTGAGTTTGAGTGAAATGAAACATTGTTAAAAACATGATTACACAATGCCAATGTTTGATAAAAACAGCGAAAAACAAGGATGCTGAAACACACCAGCACCATGTTTGACTCAAACGCCCAAACACAACAGCCTAGTGCATGTGGAAGGCAGACTTCCCATGCAGCTTGTCGTCTAAAGTGCCTATTAAGCACACAAAAAGTTGCATTTACCTTAAAGTATAAATGACCTCCACATTTCAGTTGATGTACAACTATCAAATTTTAGGGTGTTCCCATATTTTTTGTTGTCTCTATTGACTCCCAGTACAAGCTAGAATCAAGTTCAAAGTTCTATCCCTGACCTACAGCTGTACCGTGACATTGCACCAGCATATCTGAAAGAATTCTCCAGAAATATACTTCAAGCAAAAAATCTGAGATCCAATGATCAACATCTGTTTACCTTCCCAAAGATCAATCTCAAATCCTTCGGCCAGAGATCATTCTCATTCTGTGCTCCTTCCCTCTGGAACTATCTTCCTTTTGATATCAAAACCTCCCCATTTTTAGCTGTCTTCAAGTTCAAACATAAAACCCATTTCTTCTCCAAGTACTACCCTTGATACTTGTGCTTTGAGCAACCGCATTGGATGAAAAATAGTGCATAATAAATGCACTTATTATTATTATGTTTTACAGATTAAGATGAAAAATGCAGCAGAGAGGGTTCGGGTGATCCTATTATTATTATTATGTTTTACAGATAAAGATGAAAATGCAGCAGAGAGGGTTTGGGTGATCCTGGCACAGTCAGGCTTGTAAGGCTCATCATCACACGCCCCCTCTACACGCAGCCCAGACAGCAAATGGGACTTCTCCCAGGAAATGCTGCCTAGTCGAACCCACCAAGAACTTTCCAGAGAATATGTAGACTCCCCAACACTGCAGCCTTCTGCATTACCCGGGGATGTGCTCCCAGTGGAGAACCTAGGCACTCTCCTGATCTCTTGGCGCAGAGAACAATAGGGAGCCTGATGACAGTGTACTTGGGATGCAAGCAAGATATTTCAAAGGCAAGGTCTGCATATTTAGAATGCTTTTCCTGAATCTTGCCAATCACGTTGCTGTCAAAAGGGCCAGAAAATTCAGTGATATAAATAAATTCAATGGCTTTATCAAAAAGGACAAGATCAGGTTTGTTGGCAGGAATTCTTCTGAGGCTGTATATGGACCTATTCCACAAACGTTTGAAAGCATCATTTTCTATGAAGCCCTGGACATGTTCAGGGTCGTACCATGGATACACCTCGGAGTCAAAGCCACATGCATGGCAGAGAAGGTAATAAAAGCAGCGAGCCATGTCATCATGTCATTTAAGATATGCTGTTTGTGCCAAGGAAGGGCATCCACTGACAATCTCTGTGAATTCATTACACAGTCGACATTTCATATTGATATTTTCTTTAAGAATCACATTTTGGCGGTTGCGAGTGGGAAGTGCCTGGTCTTGAGCAGCAAAAACAAATCCCTCAGTTTCACATTAGGTGTGTTCACGATATTTTTTCAGTGTATACTTTTTCATCGGGCCTATTTTGTGTTCCATTGAGGTTATGTTTCAATTTTGATTGTTACGCAGCTATATTTTCATATTAGATTTGTGTTTTCAGTCACGTTGCGTGTTTGATCAGTTTGTTTACTGGTTGCTTAGTCGAAGATGGCGCCCCTGCTGCTTGAGCCTTCAGAGTCGGTGTTAACCACCAAGTGTGACAACTGTCATCATCCCAAGAGTGAAAGAATCCATATGGCTGGTGTCCTGACTGCTTGGACAGGACGTGCACCAAGGATGATAAGTGCCCTTAGCATGATTTCCTTACGGACCAGGAGTTTGAAGCTTACCTACGGGTGGTCAAGTAGCGCCAGCAGCAGCAGTCTAGATGCACGCCTTCGGATCGGCACCACCCTTCAGATCAGCACCAGGCCTCACCTGAGTGCCAGACTTCAGATCGGCGTCAGGCTTCAGATGGGTGCAAGGCATCAGCTGAGCACTAGTCTTTGGATCGGCGCCGCTCCACAGATCGGTGCCTCTTGTTAGGCCAGCGTGACCAGCGCCAGTCTTCGGATTGGCATCAGTCTATTGAGCAGTGCCAGTTAGCTGAGCAGTGTCAGCATGTGGACTAGTGCCAGTTATCAGAGCAGCGCCAGTCACCTGAGCAGCGCCAGTCGTCTATCAGGAAACGCCAGTCCTTTGCTGACCGTCGTTCAGAATCACCTAATTATGTCGTAAACGTTTTTCCTCTGGATTATGGTTGCCAGTTTCCTGTGGGTGACACAGATACATACAGAATGAAAGAGATTAAAATTGTTCTAAGTCATAGCTATCCCTAGTGGTATGCCAAAATATCTTCATGGTTATCTCCCTTAGCTGTGACATCACAGCATTGTTCTCAGCATTCATAATTTTTGTCTGTATGGTCACACTGGGACGTGTCAGATTTGAAGAGGTTTATTGTCAAGTCTAATCTTACAGAATTATAAGTGTATGGTCAGTAGAGATCGCATTTGGTCACCAGACAATCGCATTGTGACTTTATTATTCTTATTGTGAATTTTTTTTGACTTTGTGTAGCTTAGGAATTATCCGACATTTTTGGACTTTCCCGCCATGTCGCAAAATAAGTGCGTTCAATGTAAAAAAATTATGGCTGAGTTAGATCTGCATTCTCTATGTGCATCATGTTGTGTTGGAGCCCCTTGCACAGTTGAAGATCGCTGTATGCTATGTTCTGCCTTATCTACGGAGAAATGGATTAGTATGGATAGAGCACGTAATGTGGCGAGGAAAAGGAAATTGTCTGAAAACTCAGATTCCTCTAAAAGTAAAAAACCTGCCTCTCAGACTTTTAGTTCAGCAGTTAAATCGGACTCTAATTCAAAATCTAGATGTAGATCAAGTTCATCATCTAGCCAGGTTGATTTGTCAGCTATTAAGGAGCTATTGTCTTCTTTCAAGTCGGAAATTCAATCATCCATGCAGGAGCCCTTTCATTATCTTGAATTAAGTAATGAAGGGAAAATCTCAGACTTGCAGAGGCAAATTGATTTCTCCGTCTCCCTTACTCAAAATGTGGCTTATCTATATGACTCATACGATGACTGGCATGCTAGGTCCCAAGGTCTAGAGTCATTCCCTGTAGGGTAGCGCAGTGCTCTGCTCGGTTCGGTCCAGCATCACTCACGTCCTGAAGCCGGGTCGCCGATCCCCACGGTGGGAGACTCTAAGGCAGGAGGGACACGGTCCCAGGCTGTCAACCCTTAGGGGTCAGCACCCAAGCTAGCTTGCCTGCCAAGCTGGCTATCGTGTCACGCTCGGGTGATTCAGCGTCCCCGGCACGGCTTGGTCAGGAGGTGTCCTCCCATTATGCAGACAGCCAGTTCGCAGACACCTTAAAACAACAACATTTACGGTTCAGAGAACAGATTATCTACTACCTGTTACCTGCACATTATAATGGAATAGTCCAAATAAAACAAACAGGAACAAACTGAAGCTATATTATTTATTTTGAAAGATGGACGAAAAGACAGTAATTTGAATTTATATTGCGGCAATATAAAAACAGTATATTTTCATAAACATTTCGGTTTAACCTTCTAGTCTAACGGGAGTCGGCATCATCATATTGAAAACATTAGCTTAGCTATTAGAAATTGCGACACTGTAAGCCGGGTTAAGGTGGTCGGCATGGGTCCTTATCAGCCGTTATATAACCCAGATTCCTAAGCTCATGCACAGCATTGACTAGCTTGCTCTACGGGGAGTGTAACGGATGGTGCACGGACAACCTCAGTTTCGGTTAACCGGGAGTTCATTGACACGGATTCAGACTGGCACACGGCTTATCCGGTGGCTAACCTAAAACTAATTATGATGGAGGGCTTTATTACTTTACCATCCATGGATACAGCTGCGGAGGACTATATACCGGGATGGTCCTTGAAAGAAAAAATGGAAAAGATACATGCTCTTTATCTAAATATACTGGCCACATAAAGAAACTGTGCACACAGAAAATATAAAGAAAGGCAGACAGTGTCTTTATGCATAAATAAGGGTGTGAACATAGCAAGTATTGGAGACAATCAAACGCTCATGCAGGTGCCAGGCGACGTGACGTCATTGATGGTGGCCTATGGACTTGCAATGTGTTACTGCACGTGCAGCCTGTGCAGCTGCAGACAACATGTGAAACTCAGAAATTGATGTCACTGTCGAAAGCTTGATCTTTGGTCATTCAAACGTTCACAAATTCACATGAAAAGTCACATGCACATCATGCCAAGATTAACATGTGCTCAACGTCATGAAGCCATTGGAATTGTTCGAGCAGGCATGAGCCAACAACAGGTGGCAGCACATTTCCAGTGCCATCGTAACACGATATCTGCATTGGTCAGGCAGTAATGACGTCGCCGACCACCCACGTTCTGGGCGCCCCCGAGTAACGACGCCAAGAAAGGACAGATGGATTCGGGTGACTCATATCAGACACAGGTTCCACACGGCTGTCACCACGTCCCAAACCATTACCAAGGCCTTCATTTGGAACATTTGGTAGCCTCTATGCGTCGTCGATGCACTGCTCTGCTTCACGCGCATGATGGTCATACCCGTTATTGACTTTGTGACTTCGACGTGTGACCCCCAACTCAATTTTGAACTTCTATCGTTACGGATATTGTTGTGGTTCTTTTGACATGTTGTTGAGGCCCGATACTTCAGCTTATAAAGTGTCTACATCATGTTGTCTTTTCTGTGTCGTATTCCAATTCTGAAGGAATTTTCTTTGTGCACAGTTTCTTTATTTTGCCAGTATACATGCCACCTCCTACGGATACTGTGGAACAGGAGATACCTATTGAGCTGGGGTCATCCGGATGTTTGCCACCAGAACGTACTCTTAAGTTATCTTTACCTCATTCTCCAGTTGTAAAGGCTACCCTGGATAATTACAATGAAGCATTGGCCAAGTCTAGTTTGCTACAGTCATTACCTAGGAATCCTCAGATACCAGCCTGTGCCATCCACAGTTGGGATCTGCCAGCTAGTTTGCCTCATTTGGATAAGGACTTTAGTTTACTAGAGGCTAGGAGTCACAGAGACAATGTCATACCATGTTTTCCTAGAGAATTCAAGGAACTGGATGCTGGAGCCCGTTCTTCCATTGACATACTATCATATATAAACTGGTTTGTGGCTGGTGTTTGTGCTCTGCTTCCTCCGGTGTTCAAAGACTATTCGGGAGTTAAAAAGGATACCTTAGTGGCTGTTGGTGCACAAGGTTGCATTGGCTCACTCTTTCCTGGATGTGTTATATCAGGGAGTATCGGATGCTACTCAGAACCAGGTGTATTCGCTGGGCAGACTCACTGCTATGGAGAGGACTCATAAGCTAAGCTCAGTCCGGAATTTACCAGAGTCTACTAAAGATTTGATGTTCCAGCAGCCATTAAATTCTGAGGTGATTTTTAACGGTCAGTGTCAGCAAGCGGTGGAAGCGAAGGATGCCATTAATTCCAGGAATCTCAATCAACGTTTAGCTTCGGCCCTATTGAACCAAAATAGATTCAGGTCTGCTCCTAGGGGTAGGAGAGAAGGACCACATGCTAGCTCAGGTTCCCACTCACAGTCTATGAATCGTCCTGCCCCTCTACAACATTCAGCTTTTGACAGGGCCATGGATATCAGGCCACATACTTTTACTCCATCTCAGCAGGGAGCTCCTTCTAGTTCTACAGGTAGAGGAAGGGGGGCTAGGTCCTTTCGCCCCTCAAGGGCTAGGAAGTTTTGACTCCGTACTAACAGCACCTTTTATGCCTTACGTTTTGGATCTGTCCCGGGAATTAGAGTTGGATTTCGATTTTGTTCAGCTGGTAGCTCCCTCACCAGTAGGGGGTCGTCTAGCGCAGTATTACAAGAATTGGGACACTTGGATACTTTCGGTAGTTGGTCGGGGGTTCATCCTACCTTGGGAGGTTCGGCCGCCAGTCACATGCCATCCGAGCATGATTATGGATCTGAAAATCCTCAAGAATTTTCTACAAAAACCACCAAAATTCAAGATGGAATCTTTGAGCAATTTGCACAGTCTGATCCAACCGGAAGCCAAGTTTATAAGCATGGATCTCAAGGACGCCTATCTTCATGTGCCTATACATCCTCGGTCACAGAAATACCTGAGGTTCGCAGTAAATAGTCGCAGGTATCAATTCAGAGTCCTACCATTCGGCATATCCCTTGCTCCTTGGCTGTTTACGGCAGTGATAACTCCCATTGTAGCTTTTCTTCATCACAGGCGCATAGCCATTCACGGTTATCTGGAGGATTTCCTAGCCATGAATACAATCACAATCAAACTTAGAATAGAAGAATAGAATAATACTTTAATGCCTTTTCAGGAATTTGTGTTACATCAGCAGAGCTACTGACACATTAGAGAGATACCAAACATATTTACATAAATTCTTTGATTTAGGTATCTCACATTTGTTTAAGAGAGATATGGTACTTGGAATAAAGGATGTACGGGCTCTCTTAGTTTTCACAATTGGAACTTTGTAGCGGCGGCGGCCTGAAGGGAGGAGGTTGTATTCCGAATTTAAGTAGTGAGTACGGTCAGATATGATTTTGACAGCTTGATTCACGATTTGCCGCTCATATATTGATGATAAACATTCAAATCTGACTCCAGCGATTTTACTTGCAGTGTTAACAATTTTGTCTATTTTAGATTTGAGATGAACTGAGAGAGACCCGTACCAACAATGGAAGGAAAATGTTAAAATACTCTGAATAAATGCTACATAAAAAGATGACATCACAGATGGGTTAACATTAAAAGATCTCAGTTTACGCATGAGATGAAGACGTTGTTGACACTTTTTTTGTAGGGCTTCAGTGTTAGAGTTCCAGCTTAGAGTCAATGAAGGTTCCCAGATAGTTATACTCCAACACTGTCTCAACACATTGATTGTTGATTATCACTGGAAGCATTTCTGTGGGTTTACTCCGAAAGTCAATTATCAGTTCCTTTGTTTTTGTGACATTTAAGATTAAGTGGTTTTCTGCACACCAAGTCGTAAAATGATTAATGTCCTCCTTATACAGTTTTTCAGAATCAGTGTCGTTCAGTTTGCCGACAATTGCTGCATCATTTGCGAACTTTACAGTTGAACAGATTGAATTCGAGCTTGCACAATCATTAGTGTAGAGGGTGAAAAGAACAGGAGATATTACACAGCCTTGTGGTGCACCAGTGTTGGTGGTCCGTTTACTCGATACAGCCCCGTTAACTTTCACGTACTGCTGTCTGTCCACAAGAAAGTTTTCGATCCACTTGATGAGGTATGAGTTAACGCCCATGTCTAACAGTTTCTGTATCATGATATGTGGCTGGATAGTGTTGAACGCAGATGAAAAGTCAACGAAGAGGATCCTGATGTATGACTTAGGTGTCTCTAGATGTTTATAGACATAATTAAGGAGTGACAGTGTGGCATCAACAACTCCTCTCCTTGACCTGTAGGCGAACTGAAGCGGGTCCAGTATGTCGGCAACTTCCTGACGGAGATTTCTCAACAAGATGCGTTCCAGCAACTTCATTGCTATAGATGTGAGAGCAACTGGCCTGTAGTCATTGAGTTCTTTAGGTTGTGTCTTTTTAGGAACTGGTACAATTTCTGATGTTTTCCAGACCGAAGGAATAACGTGTGTAGTCACTGAGAATTGAAACAATCTAGTGAAAACTGTACACAGTTGAAGTCTGCACTCCTTCAACACAATGCCGTCAAGGTTGTCAGGTCCTTTTGCTTTTCTGATGTTAATTCTTGAGAAGCTTTGAATGACGTCAGCTTCTGATATATGGATACGACTTTCACTATCCTGTACGACTTCACTAACTTGAGCTCTCTCATTGGTAAAGTAAGGCAGACCAAATTTATAATTCATGTGTTTAAGCATTTGGGCCTAATCATTCATCCGGAGAAGTCGGAATTAACACCGTCCCCAAGGATAAAGTTCTTGGGAGCAGTTTTGGATGCAAGAACTTGCCGTATTTATCCTCCACAGGATCGTTGGGACAAGTTAAAGAACAGAATACTGCAAGATATCAGGTTGAGGAAGGCATCAGTCAGGAAATGGATGTCGCTACTAGGGTCGCTGACTTCCATCCAAGATTTTACCCAATGGGGCAGAATACATCTTCGGGAAACCCAAGTATGGATAAATCAGAACAGAACTTTGGATCTAGACACATTAATTGTCTGCCCGAATCATGTCAAGACAGAATTACTTTGGTGGACTCAGGAGTCAAATGTTCTACCGAGTCAAATGTTCTACCCCATTTCATCCACCTCCTCAGGATATCACGATATACTCGGACGCGTCGGCCACAGGATGTGGTGTGCACATGGACCAGTGGCAAGTTCAGGGCACATGGTCTCCACAGGAAAGTGTATACCACATCAATGTATTGGAGAGAGTGTCATGCTAGCCATGGACAATTCTACGGTGGTAGCTTTTGTGAACAAGCAGGGAGGAACCAGATCAATGAGTCATTTACAAGTCACGGAACACCTCTTTGCCATTGCCGAACGTACAAGATGTTACCTAAGGGCTCATCATATTCCCGGACATTTCAACATTCTTGCGGACTCCTTATCAAGGCAGGACAGTGTCATTCCCACGGAGTGGACTCTACACAGGGAAGCCTTCGATTTAATCGGGAAGAGATGGGAAACTCCTTTGATAGACCTATTTGTGACCCACAGAAACAATCGTCTACCAACGTAGTTCAGTCCAGTGCAGGATCCTCTAGCATGGGCAGTGGATGCCATGTCGATACCTTGGGAAAATATGACTGCCTACGCATTCCCTCCGTTCAAATTGTTACCGGAAGTTCTGGCCAAGATTCTGTGTCACAACTGTGTAGTTTATCTAGTGGCTCCCCTCTGGCCAGCAAGGACGTGGGTCACCACTCTCCTGCAGGACCCTCCTCTTCGATTGCCGGAATGGGACAATCTTCTCAGTCAACCGGATTCCACACGAGTCCACGGGGACCTGCAGAACCTAGCTCTTCACGTGTGGAGGCTATCCGCAAATCACTCCAGCAACAAGGGTTTGACGATAGATCTTCCCTGGCAATTACCCAATCTATTTGACCCTCCACAGCAGCTCTCTACAATGCAAAGTGGAATCGATTTGTCAAGTGGAGAAGAGACAGAGGACTCTTGGATTCCCCAGTGTCTATCCCCATGATTGCAGATTTTCTCCTATTCTTGAGAGACGTCAGGAAACTAAGACATAATACTATAGAACGATATAGATCTGCCATTGCTTCAGTCTATGATGTCGAGGGATTGTCAGTCGGATCTAACTCTTTACTTCATAAATTGATCAGATCCTTCCAGATCAAGGATGTAAGGTCTCCTACCATCTTTCCGAAATGGGACTTATGCTTAGTTTTGAAATGTCTTACGAGAGCTCCTTTTGAACCCATGCAGGCCACAACCTTAAAATTTTTATCGTTTAAAACAGTGTTCTTGTTGGCTCTTGTGATGGCCTCCAGAGTATTGGGAATTCATGCCTTGGGCTTTAGATCAATAACATTCTCGGAGGGTTACCGTTATATGTCTTGCAGAACATTACCAGAATTTGTAGCAAAAAATCAGTCAGCTGCTAGTAGGCCATTGGGACCAAGGATTTATAAAATTCCGGCCTTACCTATCACTGCCTCCAGTGAAGACAGATCAAGATTATTGTGTTCTATTCGTGTTTTACGTTGCTACATTCAGAGAACTCTTGCATTCAGAAGGGGTCGCTGTCGTATGTTTCTTCCATGTAAACAGAACATTGATTCAGAAATTTCTAAAAATACCATCTCATCGTGGCTTAGAAAGACTATCACCTTTGCTTATAGAGACTGTGATCAGGAGACTACAGATGCTAAGTTTTCACCTCATGAGATTAGGGCTCTAGCTTCATCTCTGGCAGCTTGGTATTCAGTTTCGGTGGAACAGATAGTATCTAGTTGTCAATGGAAAACATCAAATACTTTTATCTTTGAGATGTTGCTGTGTCCTTGGAGGGCCTAATCTCTTTCATTCTGTATGTATCTGTGTCAACCACAGGAAACTGGCAACCATAATCCAGAGGTAAGTTTACTAATAATTACTAACAATATCCGTAATTGTTCCTTTTGTGGGGAGCAGATCGTCAGGTCGAGACCACTCTTGGGACCAGCCGCGGTCGTTCTCCTTATAGATAAGATGGTTGGCGGAGGTCTGGCATCAGACATCGTAGCACCAGGTGCCACTCACACTTTAGGCATCATTGGCCATCGTCCAGTCCTAAACACTACCGTTCAAGGTTACCACTTGACCGAAGGAATCAAGATGTTAGTAATTCTACTTTACTGTCAACATATTGTACATTTAAATCTCAGCTTAATACTGAAAGATATGTAACTTGTATAAATCTGTACAGTTAAGAAGGGCTTTGACTGAACATCACAATTCTAGGGAGTCCCGGTCCGTGGGAGCAATTGTGCTTAGTAAGTCAATGGGTTCGAACTAACTTGGTAGTTATTGACCTACCTTGTCGTTGCTTCCTACTAATGTAGAAGGGTTCGACAATCTCACTTGCTGACCTCTACTCCACGGAGCAATCACATCAGTAGTAGTGAGTCCTTCCCGATTTCCTTATGGATTTCGTAGCTTTCTAGCTCCTAAGTACCTTAGCACACCATTGTGACCTAACTGTGGTAAGTAGTGGAAGTCATGTGGTGTTGTTTTGGTGCTGAATGATGAACTTTTGAGATTTCCGATTCAGCTTCCTTTTCCCCTCTTCGTGATAGGGTCTGGGGGGGGCTGTCTCGAAGCAGGTGCGGGCCCGATTACTAGTCGTAATTACGGGGGTACTATGATAAATCGTGGCGAAACAAGGTGACTTGCCTAGTTATGTTTTCTTGCATATACAAGGGTTGCGTCTGAACACCACATCGCTCAGGAGCACCCACTCCTTGGGAGCGATGATGCCTAGTACGCCAAGGGGTTCAGGAGAACCCATCACTAGTATAGGTACTATGCTAGTTGGGTCCTGTGGCCGAACACCACATTGCTCAGGAGCACCCATTCCTTGGGAGCGATGATGCCTAGTACGCCAAGGGGTTCAGGAGAACCCATCACTAGTATAGGTACTATGCTAGTTGGATCCTGTGGCCGAACGCCACATTGCCCAGGAGCACCCACTCCTTAGGAGCGATGATGCCTAGTAAGCCAAGGGGTTCAGGAGAACCCATCACTAGTATAGGTATTATGCTAGTGGGATCCCAGGCTGACCCAACTCCTTATGCTAGTCGGATCCTTGCCGAACACCACATTGCTCAGGAGCACCCTCTCCTTGGGAGCGATGATGCCTAGTAAGCCAAGGGGTTCAGGAGAACCCATCACTAGTATAGGTACTATGCTAGTTGGATCCTGTGGCCGAACACCACATTGCTCAGGAGCACCCACTCCTTGGGAGCGATGATGCCTAGTAAGCCAAGGGGTTCAGGAGAACCCATCACTAGTATAGGTACTATGCTACTTGGGTCCTGCGGCCGAACACCACATTGCTCAGGAGCACCCATTCCTTGGGAGCGATGATGCTTAGTACGCCAAGAGGTTCAGGAGAACCCATCACTAGTATAGGTACTATGCTAGTTGGATCCTGTGGCCGAACGCCACATTGCCCAGGAGCACTCACTCCTTAGGAGCGATGATGCCTAGTACACCAAGGGGTTCAGGAGAACCCATCACTAGTATAAGTACTATGCTAGTCAGATCCGGCCTCCCTTGTTCATTGCTATCTACGGTTGTCATTAGCCTATACAGTATATACTGTCAGTGCCTTTTGACTTAGGTTAAGCTGCGACCAGCCACCCAACTGTGGGATAAGTGCAAATCGTGAGATAGGATACGTTTAAAAATTTGGAAATTTTAATATAAATTGTATATTTCTATACTTATCCTATCTCACGCGATGGTTGCCCACCCAGTCTCCCCTCTACTCAGATTATGACGGTTACGTATAACTGTCATTGGCTCCAAGAAGAGAATGATCACTCTGAGGTAGATAGGGCAACGTGCTGCACGCTTAGCCAGGGACTAGGGACCTGTCCTGTAAAGAAAGCAGCCTTGGGAACACGGGAGTATGGACAAGAGAGCCCTTCAGGAAAAGTTCTCATTTGTTCCACTCAGCGTTGAAGCAAGAGAAAGAAGTGCAAATCGTGAGATAGGATAAGTATATAAATATACAATTCGCCAGTTGGCAGTTAGTTATTAGCGAGTTAACACAATGACTCTTAGAGTTATCTCCCTTAAACATAAACTCGCTTTCCCAGTTTTATGTTCGGTTCTTCGGTCTGTCTGTGTGTCGCCTTGGCTTCGACAATAAAGTGTTTGGATTTGATTGCACGTGTCCTGGCTGTTTATCGTGGAGGCGGAACCTTCTCCATTGGCGTGGTGGCAGCGATATGGATTAACTACATGACCTACGCTTCCCGGTAACTACTAAAACGTAAACGGTCAGTCAGTCAGCATATTGGTTGGATAGCACGTGTGATCGTTGTAACTGTCCAAAATGGCGCATACACATAGAGCCCCGAAGCAATGGTGTCTTACAAAATCTGAGACAGTTAATTCCTTTGAGAACTGGAAACAAAATCTCCATTACACTCTGTCACTAGACCAGAATTTTGCACACTTTTTGGTGGATGGTGTGACCTGGACGAAGAAAACTCGTGATAACCCTCGACGTGGTTTTGTAAACGATGGCGATGATGTTGATATAGCCATTCGTCGTACTTCTGAACAGAAAGTGACAATGCTTGAACTTATGCTTGGCCAGATCGCCAATTATTGCCCTGTTATTGCTAGAAGCACCATTGTCAAGAAGTCAACCTCTCTCAGCAACATTTGGCAGGAAATACGTTTACATTACGGATTTCAGTCAACTGGATCACATTTTCTGGACTTTGCCAACATTTCTTTGTTACCAGATGAGCGTCCTGAAGACCTTTACCAGCGTCTGGTTGCCTTCGTTGAAGATAACTTGATGAAGACTGGGGGTAATATCACACACCATGGGGGAAGAAATCATTGAGGATGAAGAATTATCCCCATCTCTTGAGAACTTTATTGTGCTCACGTGGCTTAGCCTCATACATAAGGACTTACCCAAATTGGTTAAGCAACGCTATGGCACTGAACTACGTTCTCGTACCCTTGCATCCATAAAGCCTGAAATCTCTCAAGCTATGTCCTCCCTTCAAGATGAAATTATGACTAATCAGGACATGAAAGTTATGAGAACTGCAACGTCATTCCCTACTCAGGACAAACGGCAACACTCTCGCTCAAGCCGTTTCCCTCACAAGAAAACTGACAAGTCTTGTCCTTTGTGCAAGTTGGCTGACAGACCTGATCGCCATTTTCTGAGTGAGTGCAGTTACCTTCCGGCTAGTGATAAACGTTATCTAGCTAAGGCTCGACAGATCGTACTTGCCCTTGAGGACGATTCCCACGATAGTCATGACCAAACCCCTGATGATGACTGCGACGTTAAAGAATATGAGGAACCAGTCGGTGTGATGAGAGTCCAAGTATCTCAGTCCCCCTGCCTCAATACCTTTTACCAACATCACTTGGCACGCATTACCTTGGACAGTGGTGCCACCGGGAACATGGTGAAGTTATCTGTGGCAAAGAACTTGGATCTTGACGTCAAGATTAGCACCCAGTCAGCCAGGCAAGCAGATGGTGTTTCGCCCCTCAGAGTTGTGGGGGGAAGTTAGTGCTGTCTTCGTTCGTGGCCAGGAAGAATTCACATTCGAGGGTCTTGTTGTTGAGGATTTGGATGTCGACATTTTAGCAGGCATTCCCTTTATGGAATTGAATGATGTTTATGCCAGACCCGCTAGGCGACAAATCTTTCGAGGTGAACGTGTCATCGTAGATTACAGCCATTCAGGGAAGGAGTCAAAGCTTGATCAACACACCGTTAGACGCGCTCAAGTCCTCAGAGCTGCGAACAGTCCCACCACTATTTGGCCAGGAGACTACATCGAGCTGGAAGTTCCACCGGAGTTCACTACACATGATGACCATCTCGCCCTGGAACCTAGGGTTGAAAACTCTCCCATCGGGAAACAAAACTGGCCAGAGGTTGACATCGTTCCCAGTGTCTGCGGACGGATACGCATCCCGAACCTGACGGATGGGCCTTTGTCATTGAAACATGCACACTTCTGCCAGGTGAGACATGTCGTAGATGCCCCCCGACAAAGTACAACCCACAGACTCTGTCATCACTAGCCAAAATGTGTCGCTCCAGAAGAAGCAGCAAAGTGGTTTCTCTCAAGCTGTTAAGTTGGATCCGGATCATGCCCTACCCCCAGATACGCTGCAGAAGTTCAGAACCTTACTTGATGAGTATGACGATGTCTTTGATCCCAACTTCAAAGGTTATAATGGAGCTTCTGGTCCTGTATATGCTGCAGTCAACATGGGCCCTGTGTTGCCTCCTCAAAGGAAAGGTAGAGTACCCCAGTATGCCAGAGATAAACTTGAAGAGTTGCAAGCCAAGTTCAACGATCTTGAAGCTAAAGGAGTGTTTGTTCGACCCGAAGATGTTGGGGTAACTGCTGAGTACCTTAACCCATCCTTTCTTGTGAAGAAACCTCAGGGCGGCTTTCGCTTAGTTACAGCTTTCGCAGATGTCGGACGATATTCAAAGCCCCAACCATCACTTCTCCCGGATGTTGATTCCACTCTACGACAGATTGCTCAGTGGCGATTCCTCATTTCCACGGATCTCACCAATGCCTTCTACCAGATACCTTTAGCTCGTGACTCCATGAAGTTCTGTGGTGTAGCAACCCCTTTCAGAGGTGTACGAATGTATGCAAGATCTGCAATGGGCATGCCTGGATCCGAGACTGCGTTGGAGGAGTTGATGTGCCGTGTACTTGGCGACCTACTTGAAGAAGGGGTGGTAGTAAAACTTGCTGATGACCTGTATTGTGGTGGTAATTCGCTTGATGATCTATACAGCAACTGGAAACGTCTACTGGAGACTCTTCACAAGAACAGTCTCAATCTCTCTGCATCGAAGACCATTATTGCACCCACATCCACAACCATCCTCGGTTGGATCTGGAGAAACGGTACGATCTCTGCAAGCCCTCACCGGATCTCTACATTGTCTGCTTGTGCTCCTCCTGAGAAAGTGAAAGGACTCCGGTCCTATGTAGGGACATACAAAGTGCTGGCACGAGTTATTCCCAACTGTTCATCTATCCTGGCACCCCTTGATGATGCTATTGCCGGAAAGCAGTCAACTGATCGAATACATTGGACTGAAGATCTCATCCAACTGTTCAGGGATTCTCAGAGGGCTCTCTCAACTTGTCGTGTACTCACTCTTCCACGTACTGGTGACCAGTTATGGGTTGTCACCGATGGTTCAGTTAAGAGACAGGGTGTTGGTGCTACCCTCTATGTTACTCGAAACAACAAGCCTCTCCTTGCTAGTTTCTTCAGCTCCAAGCTCCGAGGTCATCAAGTGAAGTGGTTACCATGTGAAATAGAAGCACTTTCCATCGCTTTAGCTGTCAAACACTTCAGCCCTTACATGATCCAGTCAAAGCATAAGACTTGTGTTCTCACTGACAGTAAGCCTTGTGTGCAAGCCTTTGAGAAATTGTGCAGGGGAGAATTTTCTGCCAGTCCACGAGTGTACACATTCCTCTCCATTGTGAGCCACCATCAAGCATCTATTCGTCACCTTGCAGGTGCCGCAAACCTGCCTTCGGATTTTGCGAGCAGAAATGCACCAGATTGCCATGAACCTACTTGTCAAATTTGCTCTTTCGTGGCTCGTACGGAAGATTCGGTTGTCCGTATCACTTCCATTCAGGACTTTATCACTGGAGAGTCAAGATTACCATTCACAAGCAGAGCTGCCTGGAAATCCATCCAGTCAGAGTGCAGTGATCTTCGACGCACACATGCCCATCTCACTCAAGGTACACGTCCGTCCAAGAAGTTGACTAACATCAGGGCCGTTAAACGTTACCTACAGGTCGCTTCCATTGCGCGGGACGGCTTACTTGTTGTTGTCAAGGAGGAGCCTTTCACGTCTAACAGAGAACGGATCATTGTACCGCGTGAAATTGTCAGCGGATTACTGACTGCCCTGCACATTCAACTCAATCATCCGACCAATCACCAGATGAAACAGGTCATACAGCGCTACTTCTATGCCTTGGATCTTGACAAGACTATTGAAGACACCACTGCCAGTTGCCATAGATGTCAATCACTTCGCAGTTTACCACATACAGTGATCCAACAGTCCACTGGAGACCCGCCTGATACTATTGGAATCAGTTTCGCAGCGGACGTTGTTCGCCGCAACCGGCAATTCATACTTGTAGTCCGGGAATGTGTCACATCTCTTACACTGTCCTGTCTACTCGATGACGAGCGTCACGACACACTCCGCAGCTCAATTATTGCTTTGTGCAGTGAAGTTCACCCAATGGATGGACCGCCTGCTGTCATTCGAACTGATCCAGCTCCCGGTTTTGTAGCCCTTGTTAATGACAGGTTTATGAAACAAAATGGTGTAGTTATTGAAATCGGTCGAGTCAAGAACAAGAATAAGAACCCAGTTGCAGAAAGAGCTGTTCAAGAACTCATAACTGAGTTACTGCGTCAAGACCCTCAGTGCAGTTACGTCTCGCCCCTCAACCTTTCTCTTGCCACTGCACGTCTGAACTCACGGATCAGAACCAGAGGTTTCTCCGCCAGGGAAATGTGGACACAACGCGACCAGCACACAAACTCTCAGTTGCCTATACATGACATGGATCTAATTCTTAGTCAACATGGCCAACGTGTGTCCAATCATTTATCAAGTGAGAAGTCTAAGACTCCCACCCTCAAGCAGGGTCTGACACCTGACATTGATGTAGGAAGCATAGTCTACATTCACAGCGATGGCTCCAAGTCCCGTGCCCGTGATCGTTACATTGTCACAGCAGTTGACAATGACTGGTGCAACGTTCGTAAATTCACCGGATCACAACTTCGAAACACTTCCTATAGAGTGAAAAAAGTCGGAGTGTTACTCTGTTACAAAACCTTCACTGCAACAAGCATCCACTTTGTCGGCTGATCTTCAATATCTGCCAGTGGGAGATGAACATGACAGATTCCCAAAGTCTCTACCTCCTCCTCCTCAACCTCCTCCTATACCAGATGTCATCATGGAGCCCCCTACACCTGCAGAGAGAGCTGACCCCCTATTATGCTGACATGAATTCATACCCGTATCGCACTACTGGTAACACTGACTATCCAGAAGATACTTCAACAGACTCCCCTATCGATCAATCAGAACCTTCTATGTCTCCAAAGTTGCGTCGGTCCAGTCGCAATCGTCAGATGCCATGCCACCTCTCAGACTATATCCTTTACTAGAGTAATGTGTGTGAGCATCCTCTGGTGATACTGTGTTACATATATCAGTTGCTTTATGTGATGGGGCAGAATAATCCCCGAGACTGGAGGGCAGTCTACTCAGTGATGGTCTCTCATTTCCTTTTCAGTTTGTCAGTGTTATAATCCACCTCTACAGGACATATTTGTTCCAAAGAGTCTAAACGACAATTTACCATTTGTTTACTGTTATTAACTTTAGTGATCATATTCTACCACATAGGCCCGTTGTATTTGGTATTCCCCTTTCATATGCAAACATGTGTGGATCCCATCCATAATTTTTTTTATAAGACGAAAGAAGGAGAAGTTACGCCAGTTGGCAGTTAGTTATTAGCGAGTTAACACAATGACTCTTAGAGTTATCTCCCTTAAACATAAACTCGCTTTCCCAGTTTTATGTTCGGTTCTTCGGTCTGTCTGTGTGTCGCCTTGGCTTCGACAATAAAGTGTTTGGATTTGATTGCACGTGTCCTGGCTGTTTATCGTGGAGGCGGAACCTTCTCCATTGGCGCTATTCTCATTCAATTGTGATGTCATTTTAGTGGTTGCTTTGGATGTTATGAACATTGTGGAATTTAAGTATATAAGGTGCCTTTTATTGTGAAACCATCTGTCCATAAGGTCAGTTACAAAGTTGCCACTTTACACATTGGCATGTTATGACAGAATATTCTTCAACTTGTTTGCCTGTTTGTGCTAGTTTTATATAAGTCTGATTAATTTTGTTTTTGCAGTCAGAGGAATCTGAAACTGTTCCGGCTTAGAATTTCCTTTGCACATTATGTTGTACACAAGGACATGTGCACTTCTTACACACCCGTGGGTGAGATACCCATGTGAGAAAACTGGTATCACACATATGTGTGAGATTGATTTCTGATTTCTAATCCCGCAATAGACCGGTCCAGTCCCGGCCGATAAGCCCCGCCCACTTCGTTTTTGACGTTAGGGGGGACAACCACTGACAAATCACAATGGCGTCACCGCCGGCGAAACGTTGCGTGATTGCGAACGTTGTTGATGAATTCTGCTTGTGAAACTTTGGTATCCGTCGTTTGTGAATGTTATTTAAAGAGGCAAGTTATACGTATGTGATTTTTAATATATTTTAGCTGGCAGATTGCAACTGGCGTGTGAAAATGAGTTACATGCCCGATGAAAAATCGTCTCGACTATAGCTGCCCGAGACTGTAGGAAGTGTAATTTCTTTTGAATCAATTAATCTATCTGGCAGTTCGCCTCTGTCACAGATATTAGCAGGGGAATTTTGTTGTTTGGGTTTATAATTTTATAAAACTCGTGAACACAACCACATGTTCATGTTGCAGATCGTTTCGGTATCTATAAATAGATTATCAACACTGCGCGTGGCGCCTTTACTTATCCGTTGGCGTTGTTCAAATTTAGTTCAATAATCTGAAAACATGGGTTTCTATTTTTAATGAATTAAGAGAATGGTAAATAAAAAGCA